CCTATTGCTCACTTGACTGTGCTCAGGCCCCTGCCTGGACACCACCAGGCGCCAGGCAGGGCCTCTTTGCTGTCTGCCCCAGTCGGAGAGGAAGCCTGACTGGTCCCTTATCCCAGACTCCCTGGCCCCTGGGAGGAGGGTACTGAGGTGCAGGCCATGGTCCACTATGCCCCTGTCTGACATGCTCTGTCATTGTGGGCCAGCTCCCCAATCCAGCCGAAAAAGGGGAACAGAGGTGTGAAGCTCAGGTGAGGCGAGGACATGGCATGCGGGTGCCACCCTTTCCGATCTGATGCGGTCAGGGTGGCCAAAATCTGACCACGTGCCTGGACTACTCCCTTCAGCCCTCTACAGACACCTCGGGTGTGAGAGTTTTTTTTCCCTCAAGTTCCCTTAAGAGGGGGAAAAAACCTGCTGTGACTCTCCATTGGCCACAGACTCAAATCCCCAACCTGGCCATGACCTTGAGGGCTTCCTTCACAGCCCAGTGCTTCTTCCATGACCTTCTTTTATTGGACCTTCTTTTATTGGAAGCCTAACCCTCGGGATCAGGCTGCACTGGTCCCCTCACGGCTGACCAACTGAAATGGGAACAGATCCACATTTTAAAATGTTTGAGGGACGTGGAACAGCAACGATGGGTTGAAGCCCACTGGGAGGCCTGGAAGAGGCGTAGTGAGCCCCTTCAGGATCCTGAGGTGAGAGACTGGGTTACTGCCAGGACTGGAGAGCAGCTCATGTTCAAAGCACCACGTCGGCCACCATCTTTGATCAGGGCACTGTTGTTTCCAACTCTGCTGGTCAAGAGATCCAGCTGCTGCCCTTTCTTCCCAAGAGGAGATTACATTTCCCCCAGGGCACTGACCCACTTTTCCCCACCTTCCGAGTATCCTGCTGGTTCACCTGTGAGTTTAGAAGCTCAGGCCAGTTCTACTTTTGCTTTGTCAGCCAGGAGTGAGGAGCCCTGGTGGCACAGGAGGCTACCCTCTGGTCTGCTAACTGTAAGGTCAACAGATCAAAACCACCAGCTACTTCTCAGCAGAAAGATGAAGCTTCCTACACTTGTAAAGAGTTGCAGTCTCGGAAAGCCACGGGGTCAGTCCTACCCTGACCTGTAGGGCCACTGAGTCAACGTGGAGTTGGTGGCAGTGAGTTTGGAACTTGAGCCACGAGTGAACTGGGGAGAACCTGTTCGTAGCCCTGTTCCTTGGTGTCCCCAACACATCCTGGGCTTTCTCTTACTTTGGGGGCATGCATTCGGTCCCTTCCCTTCCCAACCTGACAGCCAACAGTGAGTGTGGTTTAATGCCAAGGACTCTAAAATCAGACAAGTGGAGTTTAAATTAAACTCCAGCTCAGCCACGCACACACAGGCACATGGCATGACACCATCTCATTTAGCCTCGGTTTTCTGCTCTGTAACTTGAAGATAATGGTGAGTAGTCTCTGAGATCATCTGAGCCGATATCAAAGGGCTCATCTCTGGGCCTTGCTCCATGACTGATAACTGCAGCTATTACAGCCAATCAGCACTCTGCGTCATTAATCATTATGCATCATAGCTGGGAAGCTTTGTTATTTACTATGTTATCATCGTGGTGGACTCCTATGCATCCTTCAATGCCCTGCTTTGCTATCACTGCCTCCATGAAGCCTTCCTTAACTCTCCTGGCAGGATTTAGTATCCCCTGTTGGTTCCTCCCTACATTCTATCCCTTTAAATCGGGTAGCCTATGGGCAGGTGCCCACATTCTTGCTCTGGATCCTTTCTGCCCACCCCTCACCCAGCATGCATGGCACAGAGAGATTAAGTCTTCCTTCTCCCCTAACATCCTGGTGCGACCTAAATTTCTTCCCAGCCCATCTCCTGATTTGCTCTCAGGTAGGTGCTGGGCGGCGGGGCCAGCAGGAACCATTCTCTCTCTCTCTTTTTATCTACAGAGGAGGAAATAATTTCTACCTTGACTAATCTAAACAGTGGAGCCTGTTGATTGAGGCTGGCCCACCCTGGGCAGGGTGCGGTACTCAGCACCTTACATTCCTTACCTCATCCTGCACTCAGAGAAACCCAGGGGATGCTATTTTTATCTTCATTCTACAGACGAGGAAGTTGGCACACGGCGCTGGCCTGCATGTGTCAGCTCTAGAGAATCAATTGTTACATTTTCAGGAATTGTGTGAGCTGGTTGTTAAACGCCGGTCATTATTTAAAAACAAACAAACAAGTTAGGCTTGGTATGACACTGATGAACCATGTAACTATCCTCTGGTTACTCAGTATTTCCACCCTTAATTATTAAGATATTTATTTGTTTTACCTCGTGTATCATGTTTGATTTGTGCATGCTCAGTTTTTAAATGTCAGATTGTTCGGTACATGAAAGTTAAGATAGATGATGGATTGTTAAAAGATTTGTAAGAGCCTCCCAATAAAATGATTAATTAAAATCAACAAACATTAACGTAGATAACCCTTTAGAAACAGCAACAAGAGTAATGGTTCCCTGAAGGTACAGGAAGAGATGGGGGGGAGGGTTGATAGCCGATAGCATCGATGATTTTATAACTCCTGTCAAGGGGACTGAACAACAGAATTGAGAATTGTGTGTGAATAGATATGTTGGACTGTGTAACATATGTCAATAAAACTATTATTTAAAAAACAAAACAAAAAACCCCAAAATATCAATCAATAAAAAGTAAATTAAACAAGTTATAAAAAAATCACAAATGAACAAACGATGCTAAAAACGAAGGTTCCCAATTACTCTGAGGAGCCCTGGTGGTGTAGTGGTTATGCATTGGGTTGTGATCCACAAGGTCAGCAGTTCGAAACCACCAGTGACTCCGAGGAAGAAAGGTGAGGCTTTCTATTCCCTTAAAGAGTTACGGTCTTGGAAACTCACAGGGGCAGTTCTACCCTGTCCCGTGAGGTCCCTAGGAGTCAGCCCTGACTTGCTGGCAGTGAAGGAACGACTTGCTGGATGCTTTTGCTCCAGTTTCTGGTGACCTCTGCTCTTAAGGTGCCCCATCGATGGACGTGCTGGGCACAGGCCCTCCGACTGTCCTCAGTGACGTCGGCCACTAGCTTGAGGGCAGCAGTGGCCGGGGTCCTTACACCACAGCAATGGGCAAGCTCTACAGGTCAGGGAGCTCGCCTCCTCTTTCTAGAAATCCAGATGTTCAGCATTTCTTAGCATACCACTGTGGTTGAGGTGCAGAGAGATTGTAACCGCCCGGGATCACCCGGTAGGAAGGGACAGAGCTGACTTTGACCCCAGGCCATGTGTCCCAGGTGCCCAAGTCCTCTCACCTCTGCTCTCATTCTACGCAAGGTCCTCGGAGCTGGACTGAGCAGGTCACCCACCCTGCTCTCGCGGGGAGGGAGAAGACAGTCCAGTAGGAGACCTGCTCAGCCCTCTTCTCCCTGGTCTGCCTGCTTCCTCTCTTTCCCCACTCCCTGCCCTGTTCCTCCTCTCTCAGGCTTCTGTCCCTGGGGACTTGGGTCGGTGGTGAGCAGCTGAGGCCAGGCCTCATTCATCCTGGTGGTCAGAGGCCAGCCTCGTCTGCCCATCCCCGGCCTTTGTCTGGCCATCTGCCCGTCAGCTGTAGGACTGCCTTCTGGGGCCAGGGCTGGGGGTCTGCCTCTCTGTGTGACAGCCTGGGATCTCCCTGACCTTGCTCTGGGCCTCTTCATTCCACCTGGGACCCCGGTGGCCCCTCCCAGCTCTGAGAGTGGTGTCCTCACCAAGTTCTGCTGCTCTCTCTTTCGGGAAGAACAAAGCCAGGTCATGTCATGGGGCTGCTCAGCACCCTAGGGAAGCCAGGGCCCTCACAGTGAGCCGCTAGGGCTGGTCTCCCTTCCCTCCCTCTGCTCCACCCACTGTGCCCTCTTTGCTGCTCCTCAGACTGGCTAACCTTGACCCTGCCCCGGGGCCTTTGCACTTGCTGTATAGCCCCCATCTCTGCATGGTTCATCTCCTCTCCTCCAGGACTTCCCATATGCAAAGGTCCTCTCCTTGGACCATTCTATTTAAAATGGGAACATCAGCTTTCTTGCCCTCTCAGGCTTCCCAACTCCCCTTGCTCCTCCTTAGAACTTGGCACTATCTGACATGCTCTATTTTCCACTTAAAAAGACCGGTGTGTTCTTCTGGCTAGAAAAGGGCTGGGTTTTTTGTCTGTGTTACCCATCAGTGTACCCCAAGCACCTAGAATCGAGCCTGGCACACATAAATAACCCAAATATTTGCTGAATGAATGAGTGAATAAATGAGTGAGTGAATGTGGTATCTCTCGATGGTGAGAGAGCCTGTGAAGCCCCCTGGGAGTGAGGGTGACTGTGTGACCTGGCAGGTCTGCGACCCGGGCTCCAGGCCCAGATTAGCTGTGTGGTCCCAGGTAGGCTCTGGCCCTCTCTGTTTCTTCAAGGCAATGTGACCAAGCCGCGGAAACAGGCTCTGCAATCAGAGAGAGGGTGTTCACCCCCCCGTCTGTGGGACTGAGGACAAGCCACTCCCCTCTCTGAGCTTGTCTTGCCATCTCCCCATCCCCGCAGGGGGAGGACAGCCCCTGACCCGGAGGGAGGCTGCAGGCCCCGTCTGAGCAGCACAGTGTCTGACATGTGAAACGCATTAAGATCATAGATGCTTATTCTTCCTTTCTTGTTAACATTTTATTTTTACTGGGTCAACATGTAGATGACAATGCACTTGCCAATTGAGTCTCACCGATTCATCGATCATGTTGTGCAACATCCCTGGTTCCTCTTGACAAAAGGACCCAGAGGGCTCTCTCGGGACTGGGTGGGTGGTGGACCCGCTTGGCAGCGGATGGGCTCTTGGTGCCACCATCACCCAGAAAGGCCTCTCCCGCCTCCCCTGGGCTGCTTCCTCAGTCCTGGGCCCAGGCATTTGGCCTCATGCTGGCACGGGTGGGCACGGAGGCCTGACCCCGGGGAGCCTGCGCTGTGCGCCCGCAAGCCCTCCTCTCCCCCGCAGTGTTCATCTGCAGCTTCATGGTGGCTGCGCCCATCTTCGGTTACCTGGGCGACCGCTTCAACAGGAAGGTGATTCTCAGCTGTGGCATCTTCTTCTGGTCGGCAATCACCTTCTCCAGCTCCTTCATCCCCAAGCAGGTGAGGCTCGGCTTCCCACCTGCACCCACCCCACCCTCTGTGTGTCACAGTCCCTCTGTTGCCCAGTGGGTGGCTGGTCTAACTGGGGGTTCAGCCCCTGGGCCCTGAAAGTGCAGCAGGAGGAAGGCATCTGGGGTATAAACTAGCTGGAAGATCGGGCCTTTCTGGTGCTGGCCTGGCCTCAAGGACTTGACACCCAGGTTGGTCTCAGGAATCTGGGCCTCCCTTCCTCTGACGTGGGGACGGAGGCAGGAAGTAGCAGGACAACCCAGGAATGAGCTCTCTGGGTTCCAGTCTTAACTCTGCCTTCTCTTTGCTTTGTGACCCCAGAGAAGTGACTGCCCCTCTCTGGGCCTTACTCCGTTTGCTAGTTGGTCTGAGAACCACAGAACTCCTTGGGCCAAAGTTCCAGGTGGGGAAACATCCGTTCAACATACAGCTGTTTGTCCCCTGGCCTCCTGTCCGCAGGAGACTTGGAGAAAGTAACTTAACCTTCTCGGCCTCAGTTTCCTTATCTGTAAAGTGGGGACACTAACAATTCCCACCTTCAAAGGTTTATTGTGAGAAGTAAAACGGAGCTAATGATGGCCCAGACCCTGGAACACAGCAAGGGTTCAACCAGTCATTATCCCCACCCCCGCACCCCGTCTCTCTTTTTTTCCCTTCTTCAGGGAGATAAGTCGCCTCGTGAGGTAGTGAGTTTTCCATCACTGGGGGTGTTCAAACAGAGGCTGGAGAACCACGTGGGCTGTGGCAGTGGGAGAAGGAGAGACAGGGGGAGGGACAGGCTTTGTCCTTAAGGAGGGTTCCAGTCAGAGGGACCAAGAAGGGGCTCGGCTCCTGTGTGCTTGGGAACACCCAGGCTGGGCTGGGGAGACGCTGCAGGGAGCACTCAGGCTGCCACTCTCACTGCCTCCGTGGTGTGCAAAGGACTGAGGGCTCTCACTGAAGAGAGACTGGTCTCTTGAAACCCAGGGGCCAGGAGGGTTTCCTGGAGCCGGTGGTCTTTGAACTGGGCAGAAGGGACAGGGAGAAGCAGCCTTTTGGTGAGCGGACTCACAGACTAGAAGTCATGGCGGGGGTGGGGGTGGGGGGAGCGTGCTGGAGCCGTGAATGCTGGGCAGGGTGGAGGGCACTTTGTTGTGAGGGCTCAGCATGGACTTGGAGACTGACAAGGATTACAGGAGGCTGGAGGCAAAGGTAAAGAGCCCTGGTGGTTATGCACGGGGCTGCCAACCACCACCATGTTGGCAGTTTGAAACCACCTACTGCTCGAAGGAGAAAGGTGGGGCCTCCTACTCCCCTGCAGTTACAGCTTCCTTAAGTTACAGGGGCGGGTCCACCCTGACCTTCAGGGTCCCTGAGAGTCGGCATCGACTCGACTCGATGGCAGTGAGTTTGGTTTTTTGGTTGGGAGGCAGCGGTAGAAGTCAGCTGTGTGAGGGATACGTTTGCTTTAAGGAAAGTGCCAGGCAGAGCCTGGTGGCCACAGTAAAAAATGAGAGCTGTTCTAGAAAGTTCTAGGACCCCCTTTGAGCCTCCCTGCCCAGACCAAACCTCTGGTCACCTGATTTCTGGGGCCGCTTCTGGAAGATCATCCGGCAGAACACCCAGGAACACTGTGAAAACACAGCGATGGGGTGGGGGGTGGGGGCTTGCAAACCCCTCCCAGATACCCAACTGTGGTCATTGCAACAGCAGGCCGTGGAACAGAGCCCTCGGCTCTCGGGAGGTCAGAGTGTGAGGGAAGGCGAGCCTCAAATGGACGGTTTGGGGAGAACAGACCATCGTGTGGATGGAAAATCAAGTTTTGCCTGTAGGTCAAACCATACTGTAAACATAAATAAATCACATGCTGCAAAGTAAAATGTCAGATAGGTGACCATAAAATAAACAGAAAACCATATATGCGAATCTAGAACTGTAAGTCAATAAGGGGGGCAGGAAATAACCCGATTGAGTTATGGGCATGAGAGAAGGGCAGGCAGTTCTAGAAGACACCCAAGCGAGCAGTCAATGGAGTGAAGAGTCATTGCCTGGGCCTCTGGAGTAATCAGGGAAATGCAAATTAAAACAGCAATGAGCTACTGCTTCACACCCGTCAGATTGGCCACAATTAGAGAGGCTGATGACTCGGAGTGAGAGTAAAGCTGTGGAGGAGCAGGGACTGGGAAGCCTAAATCGGGAGCACCTCTGTGGACAGCAATCTGGCCGTGGCCTGGAAAACGCTGTGCGGGTGGACGGCCGCAGCCCAGCAGCCTGCTGGAGGGAGGGAGGGACAGACTCAGGAGCGGCACGCCCACCCGAGGGCGTGAAGCTGCTCCCGCAGCCAGTGTTGTGGCAGGAAAAGGTGACCCTTACGGAGAAGAGGGGGTGAATCCATTCTAGGAAATTCTGGGCTGCAAAAGAATGAACTAGATCTCGGTGCACCAGCAGAAATACGCTTCCAGACAGAAATCAGACAGAAGCCGGTGTGTGTTGGGGGTGGAGGAGGTGCCAGGGACAGTTGCTGTTTCTTTTTTTCCCTTTTTCACCCAAGTTTTCCACTGTGAACTAGGTGGAGGCTTACACAGAGACCAGTTTCCCATTCAGCAAGCCAGAAACCTTGTGTCTCCTGCTATTGATTGTAATGCCCACACTGGGCTGTACCATCACCCACGCCCACTTCCCCCCTGCGTCTCCCCTTTCCAGTTCACCCCTCTTTGAACCCTTCTGAACCTTGTCCTTGGGTCAGGGCTGCCCTTCCTAGCTCAAATGGTTGTTCGACCAGAGCACTGAGTCTCGGGGGTGAACCCATTTCCAGACCTGACAGGTGGCTCAGGCCAGTCTCCAAGGTTTTACCTGTCTGGCCAGTAAGCCTGTTTTGTTTTATTTCCCTTTCTGAGTGTTCTCCTCCACCCTATCCTGACTCTGGTTCATTTTCTACAAGCATGTGCACAGGACCCTAGAGTCTCCCAGGTGTGCATCCGTGTTTCAGTGAGGCGTCTGCACATGTTACATGCAAGCAGGGGCAACGAGAGATCCCGGCAGACGCATAGTGAGTGGGGCTAGGGATAAACAGGCACCCCCACCCCACCCCCACCCGCCGCCATATATACACACGCACACAGAGCAAGGAAGGCAGCAGAGCAGCCTGCTATTGTCCACCAGGGAGCGATGGAGGGGACCAATCCCACTCGCCCCCCTGTCCCCTGCCCACCCCTGGCTCTCTCTCATCAAAGGTGAAATGTGAGAGAGCAGGTTGGAGCAGCCCTTCCCAAGCAAAACAGGAGTTCCAGAAGCCCCTCAGGGAGTAACAACAGATCTGATGAGAGACCAAGAAAACCGTGCGAATGAGGCCGGAGCGACTGCCCTTGAACGCAGTAGAAAGAAAGACCCAATTATTCACGGCACTTGCTGTAAAAGGTCAAGACCAACCACCTCAGGGGAAAGGAGGCAGACTCCTGCTGGGGGGAGAGCTGCAGGGTGGGCAGCCCTGCCGATGGGGAGCGTGAGCCTGGGCTGAGGTGCATGCCCAGCACCAGGGATGTCGGGAGACCCAGGGACGGAAGGAAAGAGCAGAGCAGGAAGACGCAGGGCAGAACTGGTTGTGGGCGACGCTGGCCGGATGGGCAGTCAGGGTGGGGCCGGGGAAAGATGGCCAGGCTCTGTTCTCAGGCCCTGGGCAACTGGGGGCGTGGGGTAAGAGGGGTCCACATCAAAGGGACAGTACTACTTGCAGCTGGCACAGCCCCACCCTTCCCAGCTGAGCTGGGGCTTTGCCCTTTGATGTCTGCAGGGGGGAGGGGCTGCTGAGCCCACTGGGCTGCCCTGCCCACTCCCCACTCCCATTGGGCCCGCATGCTGCCAGGGTCAGGCCAGCACCCATCTGGGGAAGGGGATCACCGGGTGGAGGCTGACTTGAGGTCCCTGAGGTGGCGTCTCTACTTCCCCAGAGTTTATGGGGACAGAAGGCTCTGTCTGGGCCATATCTATAGTTCTCAGTCTGAGAAAACCCGGTCCCATCCTGACACAGCCAAACAGGCCCACCGCCAGAAGAGGAGACAGAAGTCCACAGTGGTCTGGGGGTGCAGACATGCGGAAGGAGGGGCTGGAAGCCATATTTTCCCCCTTGTTTGTCCCTGGAGCCTGGGGCCATGGAGCACAGACAGGGAGTGGAATGGAAGAGCTGAGTGGCCCCCCCCAGCATCTCCTCCCCTCCCCTCCTCCGCAGTACTTCTGGCTGCTGGTCCTGTCTCGAGGGCTGGTGGGCATCGGCGAGGCCAGTTACTCCACCATAGCGCCCACCATCATCGGTGACCTCTTCACCAAGAATACCCGCACACTCATGCTCTCCATCTTCTACTTTGCCATCCCGCTGGGCAGGTGAGACCGGAGACTCCAGGGGTCCCCTAGGACTTTACCAGTGGGACAGGTAGCGCCCCCCCACCTTAGTTAATTCAACATGAAGTGGCCAACCTTGGGGACAGACCAGAACCACCCCCCAAGTGGCAGTGAGGAAAATGACCAAGGCCCCACTTGGCGCTGGCCTACCCACTTTTCATGACCGAGAGCAGCCTGGGGTCCCGGGCAACATCAGTGGGGAGGGATGTGTGTGGCCAGCGGCTGGAGGGTGAGAGTGGGTGGCCTGTCTTGGGGAGTTGTAAGCGTTAGCTACCCCCATCCCCACCCACCCAGCAACTCTTGTCTCTACTAACCTGGTGGTGCCCTGTCTCCCCTGCAGTGGCCTGGGCTACATCACTGGCTCCAGTGTGAAGCAGGCGGCTGGAGACTGGCATTGGGCCTTGCGGGTAATGCCCAGGTCTCCTCCCACACAGGACCCCTGATCAACCCTCACCTAGGGCCCCCACCCGACGCATCCCAGAGATTCAAGGTCACAGCTCAGGCTAGGATACAGACCAGGCCTCCCCGCTCCCTGCCTGGGTCCTTCTAGAGTGGGCTAGGCTGAAAGTCAGGGAGCTCAGGTATGAGAGGAGCAGCCCCACCCTGCTCCCTGGAGCATCCGCCTCCTGGGGGCTAGCACCTCCCTGCCTGGGAGGCCCCGGTTGAGTGACAGAGGACTCCCATGTCAGGAAATTCCAGCGCTACAGTGACATTTCCTGCTTCGAATCCTGGCACTGGCTCACCACCAGTGACACTGGGGCCAGACCCTGAGTAGGACTACTCCCCACCCCCCCAGCCCCCACCTCCAGGGTCTGGAGCCACTTCCTGCCCTTTGGGAGGGTTGAGGCAAGTTGGTCAAGGCCCCAGGACAGTGCAATCGGAGGAAACAGAGATCCCCCTTCTCGCAGAGGAGCGGAAGCTGAAGACAAAGTGTTTTTTCCTCAAAAGCAGGAAGGAAGCAGCCTGCGTGGAATTTCTTGATGGGGTGGGAGGGGGTGGCCTGGAGAGGAACTCCCTAGCCCAGGGGCCCCACGCCTGCTGGGGTTGGGGGGGAGGCAGGAGCAGTTTCCTCTGTTCCCGTGGCCTGGTGGAAGGTTGGTGGATTAGAGCCCAGGCTGCCATGAGCTTCTCTGCCCATCCTGAGAGAGGCCTGGGGCCATGGAGAGTCTGTCCTTGACCCTGGACTGGAGCCAGAGAAGACCCAAAGTGGCCCCTCTCAAGCAATGGCCTCGATGGTCTAATAGCTGGAAGCCTCATGTCCAGCCAGGCCTTACCCAGTGCCCCACAGGATGAAGAGTTGCCCTGCCCCTGGGAACTCTCCCTCCTCTCCCAAGGTTCTCATTTCATTTGTCTGTGAATGCACCACATCCATCCATCCGTCCATCCATCCATCCACCCACCCATCCATCCATCCATCCATCTATTCATCCATCCATCCACCCATGCATCCACTTATCCATCCACCCATCCATTCATCCACCCACCCATCTATCCTCCATCCACCCATGCATCCATGCATCTTTCCATCCATTCATCCATCCTCCATCCATGCATCCAT